CAAGATTTCGAGAAAAACGCAAAAAAAAAACATATTTTTTTAATACAACTTTATTTTCCGTAATATTGTTATACTAATTTTGATTCTCCCATATTTGTTGACTACATTAGATCATATTTTGTTTAGTTTACATTGCTTGGTGCTGATAAAACACTGTTATTATAGTTTGTTTTTAACTTCTAAGATCAAAATAATATCATTTTACAGAAGTAAAAGGTAATAAATGTACTTAGATCCTGTCAAGACTACAAGTTTGAGCGGTAAAAGGTAATAACTGCACTTACGACCTTTTACTTCTGAAGGTTTAGCAATAAAAGTTATAGATAAACTGTGGTAAAATGTTATAAGTGCAGTTATAGCCTTGTTCCTCTGAAAAATTTAGATGTTGCAGTAAATGTTACTGTTGCAAATTTATCAATTATGTCCTTACTTTGAAGAACCTTACGTAATATAATTAACACACATGCACATTAATACTCGTACACAAAATTAACAATTTTCATTCATAGAAATATGAAATATGTACCTGCTCAATATTTAGATTCTACAAAAATAAATTGATAACTAAAAAGTTTACGAAAATACGCACTAAAATCTAAGTTTACAAATTTCATTTATTTTGAATGTTCTCTGGTATATAATCGAACTGAAGTCAAACAAACCCCAGACATCAGCAATTAAGGATATTAGTGACCCATATCATAGTTAAGTAAATAAAGACAATTAACTGTTTCATGTCACAAAATGTGAATGTTTGTCATTAATTATTCCATGAAGTTCACTCATCTTCTTCACTCTTACTAACAGTTTGTCTTTTATAGATTTGCTGCATGGCAATGACTCGTAATATGATTTGTATGTCTTCGGAATTGTCCCAGAGGCAACAAGTGACATCAAATCAGCTTTTTTTTGCAGCATATATTGAAAGTTTCTCTGTATAAGCCTTTCGTGGAGCCTTAAGAGACTTTTCTTTGCTTCTGCTCTTCTTCTGCATTAACCTAACTTCCTTGAACTCACTAATATCAAAAACCATAGTTCATAAAAATACTGTATTCTTTCATTTCTTTGTCTTTACGACCTTGAATCCATTTTATATTCAGCCAATTAACACGTTCTCCATCAACGAGCCAAATGTTTGTTCTTTGTACAACTTGTAATCTGGTATGTCAGTGTATTTTATTAGAACGACAATATATGGTTGCTTCCGGCGTGCTAATGATAAATTATAACTGTTTCCCACTGAGATAGAACGTATACTTTTGTGAGGCTTTTTGCATGCTCAATAGATGCATGTATGGAATGTGTTCTGAATGAGTAAAATTGTGGTTTATACACTTGTTTTGAGGAATATACAGGACACAACTTGCGACAAACTGATTGCGATTCTGTCCACCACATGTATCACTGTATAATGTCACTTCTTCAATAACAGATGTCTTACTTGAATCAGAAGTAACATACATGTACACACAAGTTCCTACTTCGCACGAGCCTCGTTTCCCCCGTGTCTCATCCCAAAGATATCAGTCCCATTACCATTTCCCAGTTCATAGAATGACAAATTGTAACAACACAGTTTTCTTTTGTAATAAAGTTCATCAATGGTTGTTTGGCGATATAGCCTGGTTGGATCTTTCTTTCCCGTTCTTTATCGGCTGATTTTTCCATTCTAGCATTGTTTTTTTTCTTTCTTGGTGTACCTGATATTTTGCTTTTGTTGCCTTCATCTAGTCTATCTTCTATTTCTCAAAGTGTCATACAGATTGCAGAGTGGATATTATTGATCTTTCTTAGGATGGAAGAAAGACAAGTTATATTCTGTACAGAAAATGTTTTCTGTACACAGCCTCTGAAACACACCTTCTTATTTTGCATTTTTTCTACATACAGTCTATAAATCTTTGCGTTAGATACTTCCTGTTGAAGTCTTTTCGTGTGTAGTGCGATTCAAAAGTCGGAAAGCTTTCGATGTGTTCTTTACAAATGATCTGTGATATTTCTTTTTTTTATTTCCAGGCACAGCTTTCCCTTTCTTGTCATTTCCAACATATAACTGCCAACTTTGTGGCTTAACTGCATTTTCAAAGTTTTTGCAATTTTAAAAAAGTCTTGCCCCCTCTAAACTTTTGCCACCAACTTTTAAGAAAAACGGGAATTTTTAAATATTTTTTTTTTTTTTTTTTGTTTAATACCTTCTCTTTTCTTTATTGGGAACAAATGGGAAAATGGAAAAAAATGAAATTCCCTCTAATTTTTCACCAATTGCCAGTATGACTAAAAAATTTTTTTTCTTTTTTATCTTCGTTATATTCTGCTGGGATTAAATCTTCAAAGATAAATTTTTTGGGAAAAAGAAAAAAAATGGCCTGGAACTTTTTGAATGCAGTATTTTTGTTTAGAGGAAAAAAAATAAATCATTTAACCCTTTTTTCCCCTACAGATTCCCCAAAGTGAACAAAAGTAAAAATTAATACACTTTGAAAAATTTTTCCCCTACTAATTTGAGAAAAAAAATTTTTCAAAATACTTTAAAAATTTGCCCTTTAAAGGATTTAAAATGTATTAATATTTTTCCCAAAATAAAGGACAATAAGTACATTATAAAAAACATAAAAAGTCGATTTCAGCAAAAATGGCAGTTATAACCTTTTACCTTTGAACCCTCGATATCTCTCATACATGTACACGTAAATGGAACCCACAGGCTCTAGCTAGTCACATAATCAAATATTTTACATAATCGGTCTATATATGTATATAAAGACATATCTTTATATACATATATAGACCAATTATGTAAAATATTTGATTATGTGACTAGCGCCTGTGATGGAACTTCGATTTAAAATCTCATCCGAAAGGCTGATTTTTTTCGATTTTTTTTTTGCAGCCAGACTGCCTTCCTGACAAGCTGTCTGCCTTCTTTATCATATACGTAATCATACGTGGTCTTGACCATCTATCTGCATTTATAACCACCCGTTCCTCTTCCTGACCACCCGCCCGACCGCCCCGGCCCTTGACCATCACTTGTTCGCCTTATTGATCATTTGTTCGCCTCTTTGATCATATGTTTCCCCCCTTGATCACTTATTGCCTTCTTGATCATTTGTTCGCCTTCTTGATCATTTGTTCGCCTTTTGATCTCTTGTTCGACTTCTTGGTAATTTTTTCGCCTCCTTGATCATTTGTTCGCCTCTTTGATCACTTGTTCGTCTCTTTGATTACTTGTTCCCCTCCTTGATCTCTTGTTCGCTTTCTTGATCATTCGCTTGCCTTTTTGATATCTTGTTCGCCTTCTTGATATTTTTTTTCGCCTCCTTGATCACTTGTTTGCTTCTATGATTATTTGTTCGCCTTCTTGATCATTTGTTCCCCTCCTTGATCACTTGTTCACTTTCTTGATCACTTAATTGTTCGCCTTCTTGATCACTTGTTCTCCTCCTTGATCACTTGTCCGCCTTCCTGATCACTTGTTCGCCGTCTTGATTACTTGTCCGCCATTTTGATAACTTGTTCGCCTTTTAGTTGATCACTTGTCCGCAATTTTAGTCACTTGTCCGCCATTTTTATCACTAGATTGTTCGCCTTTTTAATCACTTGTCCGCCATTTCGATCACTTGTTCGTCGCTTTGATCTCTTATTTGCCATCTTCAATAGCCTTTCTTTTGTCAGGATTCTTGATCACTGTACCCATATTTCGAGTAATATGAAAAAGAACTTGATATTTAGTATTTTAAATTAGAGTTTGTAAGCCATGTTGGGAGCACAAAAACGATCATGACATAGTTATAGAGAATAATAGGTTGGTGCCGTGGATGGAGAAATTTTATCTGGCGAGGCGGAGGAATTTATTTGAACCCAATTAATTCCGGAGCAGAGCCAGATAAACTTTCTCCATCCACGGCACCAATCTAATATTCTATTTATCCTGTCACCGTTTTTTAAGACTTTTATTAGGCAAACTACCTTTAATCACACTATCGGAAATGTTTCTATATAAACAAAGAAGGCCCGAAGCGTTCACTATTCTACAACAATGCACTCGCCGTTCTTATTATCTCCCTGTGTATTTTCACATTGAGGGCGCCATTTTGTTTGAAAAATGTTATAAATAAAAACATTTTTTTTTTGTCGAATTTTGTTGTGAAAACTATCTAGAATGAAAGAAAATGGTCTAAGTAAGAAAATGAATTCGAACACCAATATCTTTTATTCACTCGTTAACGCTGTACAGACATTTAAAGTGTTGTTTACGTGACGTCACAATGTAGCGCCAAACAATCAAATCAAGTACGCTATTTTAATGTCGCAAACGAGTTAAGTTTTACATTTATTTCACTTTTAATAATCTTTATTTCGCTTGAAAAATTATAGAGTGAAATAAAGTAAACAAACAAAGTTTTATCAACGTTTTCAAAACTCGTTATTCATTTAACGACAGGGGCGGAGCCATATTTAACACAGTATGTGTGACGTCACACGCACTCGTCACTGCATTTGAAATAAAAGTACATCGAGCTCGCTTTGAGGCTTTGCCTTTTTCATATTAATTTTTATTTCGCTTGAAAAATTATAGAGTGAAATGAAAAAAACAAACTAAGTTTTATCAACGTTTCCAAAATTCGTTATTCTACACACAGAAGATTTAACGAGAATTTTTATTTTTTTTCTTGAAAAGTAGTCCGGATAACATGCATACCACGTGATCAAGTGCCGTAGATCAGTAAAAATATACGGCACCTTGTTATCGGGCCGAAATTGATACAAGTGACAGGACAAATACATGTATCCGTGTTATTTGTGTTTTGATATTACATAATACAGCATGTGTACCTACGGTTGTAACCTGTACGAAAGACAATATTGAAAAAAAAATAACAACACCCTTAAATGTGCATTTTGCTGCAACCACTTCTTCGTTGTACATTTGTTTACACTGAGAAATATTTCAACAGAAGTACCAGCCAGGCCGTCTTCTAGGCTACACGCCTGCGCGTCTACTTTAAGGGGTACCGTTTTCTCGATCTGCGTCACTACTGAACAAAGAAACAATTGGAAAGAAAAGTATTTGTATTTATAAAACATATGCAGTTCTATATGAGTTTATTAGCGTTAAATTTAGCGTTAAATTATCTTACTTAATATCTGTGTGATAAAGAATCTATCTATAATTAATATTTTATGTGATAAAGAATCTATCTAGTTTCGGTTTTAAAGAAATCGGAGTTTCAAGATGGCGGCGACTGCCCTGCATAATAAACTTTTAACAGATATAAGTGATGAGCTCGTAAAAGACAGTCCGGAATATGATAATTTCGTATTTCACATGACTGAATTTGTTAAAGAAGGATTACTTAGTAGTAAAAAAACCCTACTTGGTAAATTTGGGGCTATGAAGACCAAAGGCAAACTGGATGTAGGAGAATATGAATGCATTAAGAAAGTGGCAGAATCAAGCGGGAATAATGATCTTTGTAATTTGATCAAAGAAAGAGAGGCGGAAATCATTGAAGCATTAGAACGTGAAAAGACGGGGCAAAAATCAGACAAGTCTGTGTCAACTAAACGCAAAGGTAAAGTACTCTGTCTAGCTGGGCCTCCTGGCAGACGTTTTCACTAGCGGCAACGGTATATACTGCATGCTGCCGTATACAACCCCAGGCACCGGCCTAAGCAGAATTTAAACACATATAATGTGCATGACAGTGTTACATAAACAATTAAGAATTGGGACAAACTCACAAAACGATTTAAATTAGTTATATTGACTGCTTAATTTGCATATTAATATAATTATCTATTTATTTTAAATCTTAACAAACATGCGTACTGTGTACGTTTCGTTTTTATAACATATTAACTTAAATCATTAATTAAAATTAATTATGATAAAGGTATATATTTTGCTACAGCCGGAAGTTGATTTGATCTATCATCCCCTGGCTCCAGATCTACGAAACTCTACCGTTGAGACGGTCCAGTGCCCCAATAGAGCTAGGGACGTCTGTCGCCTTGGCGTATCGTATGCTCAGCAGTAATTGATGATAGAAATACAAATAGTCCGGAGTGAACGGACAAACGTGTACACAAAGCGAATTTATGTTTATAAATGTACTACTTAAAACATTCAATGTTAATAAATTATAGTATAAATGTAACACAATCTATCATTTTATTTTTTTCTAGGTACAGAAGTCAGTAGTGCAAAGAAAAGAAAACTTGAAGAAGGTAGGCTTTACTTTTTTAAGTATAGTTTATTCTGTATGTGTTTTTATATATTTTATACATGCATGTATAGTAGACTCATAAAAAATCTGGACTCATATTTTGAAAAATTGTAAACACTGAAGTCCAAGTTTTATGCAACCTATATTTGAGCCGCGCCATGACAAAACCAACATAATGGGTTTGCGACCAGCATGGATCCTGACCAGCCTGCGCATCCGCGTAGTCTGATCAGGATCCATGCTGTTCGCTTTCAAACATTATAACAAGTTGAAAAACTATACAAGGTATACATTAAGTTAAGTTGGACTTCGTCAGCTGTTAAAGTGACTTATTCACTATTAAGACCAGTTCACTATTAAGACCACTTTGAGTCAGTCCCGTAAGTGGTCTTTATAGAGAGACTTTACTGTTCAGTTGACTGATTATTTGTGGCGTGGTCGTTAGGTGGCATTTTACTGTATGTCTTTTATACAGTGGCTAGTGAATTAAAAAGGAACTTGTCTTGATTAATCACCAACGCTGTTTTTAATCTACGTGTGTAAGAAATGTAAAGCAAACCGTTATTTAAACTTCTATAGAAATTGTTTAGTGAATATTCGACCTTGGCATCATTTCTCCGTCTAATGATCATTTGTTTAGATATCACGTGGTTAGTTATCCAGGAAAGCTGGTTAAATAAGTTTATTGACCGCCGGCATATGACCAAACACACGGCGTGTAAAAGTAGAAAAATGATTTTGAAAATGACGAATGATAATGTTCGAATATCTTATGATATGAATATTCGAATATCATAATTTAATATAAAGTTGACAATCGAGTATAATAATTTAAAGTTATATTCCTGGTCAAATTCATCAAAACAGATTGTCAAATTAACGCCTTATTGTTATCAAATGCATTATTTAACTAGTATTGACAAAGTTTTTCAACGTAGAAATGCTCTCCGTAAAGGCCTCAACAGACGGTAGGATTTAGCTGTACAGCACTAATTAGAGATAAGATGTACAATTTTCAAAGCTATACAACACTTGCATTCAGACGGTAATTCTATACTGTAAGAATCTTCTGAGGTTTCCCCTAAAAAGGATCACTTTACATTGATCCTTTACATACTTTACTCACTTAATACTTTTTTTCGCCATGAGTAATGATTGAAACACCTCCATTAAAAAAAAAAAATATATATATATTTTTTGTTAATGTGAAGCCTGACCGAGACTCTAACCTGGGACCCTCGGATTACCGTACTGCGGCTGTTCTGACTAAGCTATGTGGCCGCCTACAAACTACCTCCCCTCCCCAAATTCATGTTATTAGAGAACAACTCAATACCGTGACATAATCATTTTCGGAATAATTTTGGATTCGAACACAACACAACTTTGGGTCTCCAACATCATTTTTACCCCATCTTACTACTATGTTTACCTTTTAGCCCTAATTGTTCTGGAATTTCATTCATTACATCCATTATCAGGAGATAATTTGCTTATCTGTTACTTGTCATTGTGGGAGGTCTGTAAAAATCGGTACGACATTGAAGATTTTCAAAATAGAACATGTCCTATCCCTTACATCTCGACATAAGGTTTCCGAAATCAAGAAATAGTAGCCTTCACACATTAAGATTTGTCTGTACATCTTAGTTTTAATTGGTGTTGTACTTCAAAATCCTACCGTCTGTTGAGGCCTTAACATTTCTGACCATTCTAAAAAATGCATTTTCTTATTTGACCGGGTTAGTCAAATAAGATTTATATTTTGGCGGGAAGCCCTTCGTTTATTTCCGTAAATGTTCGGATCTGAGTCACGTGTAATGAAAATCATTATAAGTTGACACCCGAGAGTGCAAAAAGTTGTTTACATACTTATAACTTTATCTTCCAGAAACCGACCAATCAGATCCTTTATATGGTCGCGATGACAGAGGAAGGGGATTTTATGACACGGCGGGAAGAGGGGATATTTACTTATTCTCAATAATACCCACAGACGCTTAGGTGATATCATTTTATTATTTCTGACATTTTCTGATATGTTTTGTGCATAAATAGTCAGTTCTAT